GGGGGGGGTATACCATTATGGGGAGGGTGGGATACCTTGGGTCCCATGCTTCTATTCTGCCTGCACTAGAGCCTGCACAGACTAAACCATTCTCCGGGTTGATCTTGATACAGTTCATAGAACTAGCTTCAGTCTCAAGGGAGTTTAGGAACCTTCCCTATAAGTAGAACCAGTATATCATTCTTTCATTTCAATCCTTCATTTCATTTCATCATTTCATTAATTTCATTAAGTTCATTAAGTTCATTAAGTTCATTAAGTTCATTAATTTCATTAATTTCATTAAGTTCATTAATTTCATTGATTTCATTATTTTCATTGATTTCATTATTTTTATTAAGTTCATTAATTTCATTATTTTGTTATTTCATTATTTCATTATTTCATTATTTCATTTTGTTCATTTTGAGATTGCATGAAAAAAGTTATGAAATGTTGTTCCTTATAAATACTCTTACCTGTTCCAGATTAAGCCTGTAAATCTCGTTTCCGGCAGCTGCAAAGTAAAGGTCGCATGAGGTAGGATGGTATGCCATATCCCGACCATACTAACCAAACAAATAACCATAAAATAATGTCATCATATTTATTCATTTTCCGACGATTTCTTTTATTTTTCTAGTTTTGCATTGTCAAGCGACCCCTACACAAATATGTACTTCTGGCGGCTACCTAACCAAATAACCCAATAATTACAGAATACATATGTCCTTGAATTAAAGGGTCGTATAAAAAAATCACCTTGGGTATTCTAAGTCTGTAATATCTGCCTTGTTGTGTATGAAGTTCAACATATCGATCACATTGTAGGAAAACAACCTGAAATCAGAAACCAAATTTAAATTAAAATTATTAAAATTCTATATTTTTTAGGGAAAGGGAAAAGAACGATGGCACCCACCATTTTAAATTTTTTCTTTAGTTGCTGATGGCCGTGGTGACTAATGAGTGTGGGGGGGGGAGGGATATGAAAAGAATAAAAAGTGCCTTGGTGAGTTGAAAGGACAAGGAACCACCTTTTAAGATGAAATTTTATTAGAGGATGGTATTAGCCCTTCTTGAATGTTACCTGTTTTGTTCCCTACCTAAGCAGTAGCCCCTCCCACCCCCCGCCACCCCCCAAAAATTAATTTAAAATTTGCTACTTTTACCTTAGAATAATCGTCGGATAATATCTCGAATGTTACGACCTCGGCGTCCAAGCAACGTTCGAACTTTATTCCGAGATTGTTGAGATCATAACATTTTACTCTCGGCTTGTATATTCCTGAAAATTTAATCATAAATCATCAAAATGTGTCCAGGGGTACAAAGTTCCCTCCATCAAAATGTATCCAGGGGTACAAAGTTCCCTCCATCAAAATGTGTCCAGGGGTACAAAGTTCCCTCCATCAAAATGTGTCCAGGGGTACAAAGTTCCCTCCATCAAAATGTGTCCAGGGGTACAAAGTTCCCCCCATCAAAATGTGTCCAGGGGTACAAAGTTCCCTCCATCAAAATGTGTCCAGGGGTACAAAGTTCCCTCCATTAAAATGTGTCCAGGGGTAAAAAGTTCTCTCCAGGGTATTTACTTCATAAGTACTTTTATAATTAAGTAGAATAGTGTCATGAACGACTTAAAGGAGTTGCCATCAAATGTATATAAAAGAAGTTATGTGCTTTTAGTCGGTTCGTTTTTCTGTCGTTTTTACAGATATCTTCTTCCAGTGTATTTTTGTATAATGTAAAAGTAGCAAATATCTTCAAAGTTTTTATTGTAAACATTTGCCTTGCTTTAATTATGTCACATTTGAAACTGACAGAAGAAAAATGCAAAAACGATGTAAAAACGATCCAAAAACGATGTAAAAACGATCCAAAAACGATGTAAAAACGATCCAAAAACGATGCAAAAAAAGTTTACTCAAAGCAAACTTTACCATTAAACAATTTTAAAATCTAAAAAGTTTTATCCAGTTTTCTAAAAACGATCCAAACCGATTTACAACCCTAAATAAGATAAGATAAGATAAACACTGTTTTTCGTCTTTGTTTACCCCCCCCCCCTTACTTAAAAGTTAAAATGTCGCGGATTTTAATAGATTTATGTCTGGAATTGCGCAAATAAACACAATTCAGGCTAGACATCTTAGATTATCAGCAGATAAAGGTTCAAATGTAAAGATCTGTTTATTTTATTATTATTATTATTTATTTATTAAAATAAAAATAATCATATACCTGTGGATAATAAATACTGTCCGTCTTTTGAAACTCGGATGACGTCACTTAAAGCCGGCATATCAAAATCTTGTATTAGTTCAATTCGTTTTCTGATATCAATATCCTAAATAAACATATCAAAATCTTGTATCAGTTCAGTTCATTTTCTGATATCAATATCCTAAAAAAATCAAAAACTTGTATCAGTTCAATTAGTTTTCTAATATTAATATCCTAAACATATACAAATCTTGTATTAGTTCAATTCGTTTTCTGATATCAATATCCTAAACATATCAAAATCTTGTATCAGTTCAATTCGTTTTCTGATATCAATATCCTAAACATATCAAAATCTTGTATCAGTTCAATTCGTTTTCTGATATCAATATCCTTAACATATCAAAATCTTATATTAGTTCAATCCAACTGTGCTGTCAAACTATTCAACCCATAACCAACTGTCCATTGTCCAACTGTCCAACTATCCAACCTGCTTAACGAGCTGTCTACGTTTTCGTTCTGAAATCCATTCTGGTAAAGTTTTCCCCGCGGACAAATTATAAATCTTAACATCATTAGTCCGAGAGACCTGCATCTTGATTCTGCAAATAATAATAATTGAAAATAATATTTAACTCGATTGAAATTTCTGTTGTTTTAACAATCTCTTCTGTAAATCCATCTGCTTCTCTCGGAAGGATCTCTTTACTTTGTTCTTGATCTTGTGCTTCATCATGCTGAAGTTCTTGGCCTTGTTCTTCTGCTTGTTCGAAGTACTCGCGTGCTCGTTCAGTTTAGTTTTTCCTCGACCAAACTTTTCCCGTCCCTCGCGACCTTAAGAACATTTTTTTAAAGATATAATTAGAAAAAAGGGCCTTCTCGTTACTTCTGATAAAAGAACTAAACACTTGCCTTAAACATAAACTTTCCAAACCCTGTATTAATGAAACCTGATGGTGTAAACTTTTGTCAAATTTGACTTTCTGATCTAAAGAAATTCAAAGTTATAAATAACAAAGATATGAATAAAACTAAGAGTTTGAGGTTTCAAATAACCAGATTTATCTATATAATAAAAGAAGACATTCGGATGTATGTTCTTTATAGGCGGCCAAACGGCTGGACCGAATGGGCTGAAATTTTTTAGGAAACCCATGGGTTACCAGGAGGGGGGTGGGTTAACAGTAACATAGACTGAATGTTTTTTTTGTTCAAAAATTAATTTTTTTTCAATCATCAAATTTGTTTCTTCTTCAAAATTAGATTTTAAAAAATTCCACGGGCAACGCCGGGCCCTTCAGCTAATAGATTATCTTTGTGACCAAAATGTTTTTTGTATTTTTGATACACATTTCGAATATAAAAAAAACAATTTCTAAAAGTTGGGAAACAGAAAAAATGAAGCCATTTTATTTTTTCAATTTTTACAAACAGAATTTTCCTCTTTAATTACTATATTCTCCATAAATGTCGTTAAAATTGTATGTGACCTTCCATTTAAGAGGGACATGCTTGATTCACAATGGTATCCTTAATACTTCATCGGAACAAAAAAGTAAAGTAGTTTTCTTATTTGAAAAGTGTTTTAACAATTTCCTTCACGTTTTCTTTAATAGAGTAACTGCCACAATTGAAATTGATCTATTTTCAAAGAGAAGATGATGGATATCACATGAATCTTTGGCTAATCAAAGCTTTTATAGTACCATTATGATTCGGACAATAGAAAGTCTTAAGTTCATTTAAATCATACATTATCCTAAATATACTGATTTCAGTTTTAAATTAAAATTTTTAAGATATTATTTTCCTACCCTCTTTAATAGATGCCATCCTTGCTTCTTTGTCGTTCTTCTTCCTCCCGTAGATCATCTCAATGTTCTCTAAGCTGACCAGCTCATCCCGTCCTCCAACCGTCTCATCCGCCTCTTCCACCACCTTCCTCTTCTTCCCCTTCCTAACTCCGGTCACCTGCTTGCGCAGTTGTGCCGCGTCGATTTTTCTAAAATCTTCGTCGGTCAAAATACGCCCCAGGGTTACAGCGCGCGCTTTTTCCTGCTTTTCCTCAAGGGTTAGATGATCTCCCTCCTCCTTAGAAATAAATGTAAATTAATATCAAGAACAAATCTAAATAATTTCATTGTAAATCCTAAGCTACAAAAAGTACTTATTCATGACACACTTCAAGCTAAGGCAATTGTAAAAGTGAAATTGATGATTCTTCCTCCAATCTTATCAAAATAAATACATTAATACTACTAAAAATATAGTTATTCTAATATAAAAATATTGAGTGGAAAGGGAGGGAATAAAAAGGCTGAAACATGATTCAATCGCCAGTTAGTTTGAATTTGAATCTTCAAATCTTGTGTTACCCAACCATTTTTAAAGATAATAATTTTAACAGAAATTTTTATCATCAATTTATGACTAAGCAGTGAGCACGTTTAGAAACCGGTTTCATATAGGGGTTTATACAATTAAGAAAAAAATTTCACTCACAAACCACCCTTTACAGATGAAGGGGGGGGGGCTCACAAAC